TTTTTTCTCCATATTTAGGATACAGCAACCAAAAGCAGATAAAAAAAGGAAATTTTTTTTTTTTTAAAGCACGCTTGGTCTTTGCTTTCCAGTGTTTGATCGGCAACCAAAACAGAAATTGGGAATGATTTCCATTTCTAAGATTTCTCCAAGAGAGCAAAGTCATTGAATCGACAATTGATTAAAAAAATTAATAGTAAGAACGATGGAAATACCTGAGCTAATCTGTGAGATTCAATCCCCTTCCTGATAGAACCCAATATGTTGTGAAATATAAATACCTCAGCTCCTCTTATATAGCATTAGGGATTACCCAAGAACCTGAAATCAAATTAACCCAAATTCGTAAAAAATAAATCAAAAATACCCTAAAGATAGAACATGGCACACACCCACGCTCTACAAAGGACGAAAAATCTCCCAGCCAACAAACAAATTCATGAAATGAAGACCAAAAGATCTGTTAAAAAGTTGACGGGATGCATACCTGAAGACAAAGGATGCAAAAACTCGCAAGCAAGAAAGATTGAAGACGTCTGAGTCGAAGGCTGTAGAAACGATGAGAAATCTCCCGACCACAAATCTGTGAGACGAAGACTAAAAGTGCGGCTGGATTTGCAGCGCACCTCCCAAACGAAAATCGACGGCCCCCCACGCATGTCTAACAATGAATGCAGATCTTTCATGGCTGCCCCCAAACCAGCTGGTTCGAAATGGATTGAAAATGGACGCATTCTCTGAGCGAACGAAACGTTCGCAACGGAGGGGAAGGGGCAAAAAGGGAACAGAAGAAGATGTTTACTTGAGGGCATTTTCGTCAATTTACTGTTATGAAGAGAAAACAAAACCAAAAAAAAAGTAAAATGAGGGGCCTTTCCGTCATTACACTGTGCTTAAGAACAGTGTTTAGTTGGATTGCCGTTTAGTATATATATAATTTTAGCTCCCTACTATGTTAAGATTTTGGTTACTTACCCATTTATTTAGTCCTATTATAATTGAGATTTATTTTCTATTGTAATTTGGATTTAGTTCCTATTTTATTTAGAGTTGTACTTCCTTATAAATATCTCCATATTGGAGAACAATAAAAATATGAGCATAATTGAATATTTGCCCTACTTTGTCTGACTGGTATCAAAGTCTTGGTTTTCTTGTAACATGTGCTTGCGTTCTCCTTAATATTTAAGTGTTCTCCTCCCCCCGGGGGGGGAGTGAAAACGAGTTGTTTCTCTCTGCCATGAAGATTGTGTCTATTCCTTGACTCTAACAAACCCTTCTCTTCAGGGGGAGAGGGGGAGTGAAGAGAAGTTGTGTTTGCGTGAATTAGCTAAAGTTGATATAGAAGAATTTTTCATTGCCGTTTCCACTATTGTTGTCGTTGCCGCTTTCTGCTGCCGTTGATGATGTTGCCTTTGTTTGCTTCGCTTTCCGTTGTTGTGGTCATTGTCGTTGCTATTGTTGTGGCCGTGCCCTTTGCCTTTATTTGCATTAGCTTACCTTGCTTTGCCTTGCCTTGCCTTTGCTTTACCCTATTTTTAGGGTTTGGTTTTACCTTGAGTTTGTCATGTTCACAGGGTTTCTGTGTCATTTGTTGTGTTCACAGGGTTTCTGTGTTCTTTGCTTTGTCTTTGCCTTGTTCACGAGGTTTCTATGTTCTTTGTTGTGTTCACAGGATTCTTGTGTCCTTTGCTTTGCCTTTGCCATGTTCACAAAGTTTCTATGTTCTTTGCCTTGCCTTTGCCGTGTTCACAGGGTTTCTGTGTTATGCTATGTGCCTTATTTTTTAGGGTTTGCTCTTGTGTTTCCGCTGCAATCATTGCTTTGGTTTGTCAATTGTTTCACTCATTGTTTACGAAAAGACCTTCTTTACAATTGTTCGATTGGTCAATGTCAAGTATAGTGTTCTATGACTCACTTGTCAAGTTGGGCATGCGAAACATCTTTGCCCCACTTGATGATGACTTGTATAAAATCCAACTTGACCATCGTAGACTTTGGAACTTTGCTTAGAATTTAAAAGGGAGTGGAAGAATAAAGGACTAATTTTCTCATTATTATTAATAATTTAATCAGTGCTCTTAATATTAATACAAGAGCCCTTCACTATCTAAGAGCTGCCAGCTAAAGCTAAAGAGTATTTAAAAGTTTTGAGGTATCCAAAATGTTAATGACTTTTAAAAACTTTGTTAAATAAATGACTTTTCAATCAAGGGCGGAACCAGAAATTTTTTAATGGGTGGGCTAGCTAAAGTTATTAGCTTAAAATCTAATGATAAATTTTTTTTGTACTTACATTTTCTGTAGTTTTTCTAGAAATAAAAGTATACATTAAATCATATAAATCACATAATTGTAAACACAAGGAAAAAAATTTGAAATTAGAGCCATATTATTCGCGAAAGGGTGAATTTCATTTAGAAAAATGCTTCTCTTTTGGAGACAAATTAAAAGAAATTTTTTAAAATTGATGTTGGGATAAACTTTGACACCAAATACAAATGTGGAAGATCTCTTACTATGCATAATGGGGCTAAAATTGTATATTTATTTATTTATTTTCAGTTAAAATATAGACTATATGTATATTTAATTTGTTTTTTTTTCCCAAACTGTCCCTGGGCTACAGCCAAGGGCAGCCCTTGCCTTGGTTCCGCCAGTGTTTTCAATACTTTTAAAGCTAATTCTTACTACCAAAAGTCTTGATAATTTACACAAGACTTTATATTGTATTGGGAAGCTG